TAATTGGAGCATGACTTTAGAAAAATTATCACAGAAAAAAATTGTTCACTTCAACCAAAATCGTTTTTTTATGTATGACTTTTTTATGGTGAAGTAATATATCAAAGCACGATTTACCTCTATCCAATTTTTTTTTTATAAATTTACTTATTTTGAGAACAAATAAAATAAATTACTTTAGTAAATGTGCTGAATAAATTCCTTCGTTTAAAAGGTGAAGTAACTTTCTCATCTTATGTAAATAAATTATTTAAGGAATTGAAATCTTCTAATATATATATATATATATATATATATATATATATATATATATATAATATTTGTATGTAATAAAAAAAATTTATATTTATATTTAGTATATTTTTATATAATAATAATAATAATTATTATTTTGATATATGATTATTAAAAACTTAATTAATTTTGTATCATATAAATTAATTTTAAAATATATATAATTAATTTTATATCATGTAAAAATATTTAATTTTTTAGATTATTTTCTTGTATAAGTGAAATTATTTTTTTGAGGAATACGTGAATTTTTTTATTTTTTTTAGCGGAAAACATTTTAATTCATACAATATCAATGTTCTAATAATTTAAGTAACCTAATAGTTTCTTCTCTATTAATAATGATTAAAAAATTAATAAAATAGTTAATAATATATAAAATTTTATTTTATTTAATTATACAAATAAATATACGATAGTTAATATATGAAATTATATTTTATCCTAAAAAATTATATGCTCGTGACAAATATTGGAAAAAAAAACATTTGTATTCTCTTATTGGAAGTGTAAAAAGATTATGTGAAACAAACATATGGTAAATGTTTGATATTTTTTCAAAAAACTTCAAACATTGATTAGCTACACTTGAAAAATAAAAAAACCTCTTTAATTAAAATAATTGGACTATTTTTAGAAAATAAAGTACCCAAGTATAAATATATATTCATGTCATAATTATATATGTAAATTGATTATTACACGTCGTATAAATAAACTCCGCATATTACTTGCGTTTTTACATATTATAAAAATTTAAATTAATAAAAAAATTTATATGATATGATATATATTTTTTTAATAAGATATGATGTTAATTTTCATTATAGAATTTTAATTTTTTGGAAATTCTTAATTACTCTCATTTTTTGTTCGTAACTATTACTATCAAAATATAATCCAAAAATTGTCACCAGAATATTGCGAAGAAATTTAATACATACTAAAATTACAAAAAAAAAACACACACATAAAATATATCGATAAGATAACATGTAAGAAGATGATTTTTTGTGATTGAATTGTTAATATGTATAAAAAAATAATTATTTTATTAGAGATAAAAAAATAAAACACAAATTTTTTGAAGCGTAAAAGAATAAATGAGGGAAAAAAATACGATTTACAAAAGTGAGTGGGTGCTATCTTTAACTTTTTTTATGGTAGGGTCCAATATCCGCTCATATATTTTCTTCTTCAAATCTGGTTATTCCATCGATTACTCAAAACCCTAATGAGAAAAGACAGAGAGAATGAAATCGCAGGACAATTACAAGTTTTTGGGACTACGAGATGTTTCTAAATCTGTGAACCAGAAAGTAAATTTGATTGCTGTTATTCTTGAAACCGGCTTTCCAAAGGCAACAGCGGGCACCGGTGAACCCTAAATCCTAAATTTCTTCATTTCAGTCCACAAAGTTTAAATCTTTCCGAGTTTCACTGGCAATGATGATTAAAAGGCCGGACTTACGGCTGCCATTTACTTCCTTGGTAGTAGATTGATGAATTTTATCGTGAAAGTGTGTTCTGAGCCAGTGTCATTCCCTATTTTCATTTTTTAAGACAATGTTGAAATAGAGGAATGAGGGAAAGAAAGTGGAGAAGGAGAGGAAAGTTTGAATTTGAAAGAAGATAAAATTTTGATTTTGTTTTTCATGAGTTAACTTATCCATTCTTATGAGCTTGTGCTTTTATGGATCCCTTAATTTTGATGAATACTAATACTCGTCGTAGTCATACCCAAGTGTATATGTTCTTTACTTTAGGTTTCAGGTCTCTCCCAAGTTATTATTAACATTTAACATTTCATGCTACTATATGTCTTATCCTGTATTTGTAACTTGTACAGATTACTGTCGTATCCTCAAAATAATTGATGACACACATTACAGAGTCGGATTGGCTGTTAACATTTTTGCTGAAAATACGAAAAAACTCCCCCTTGTTGCTGCTGTTGGGGATGTAATTCAGCTTTGTCGTGTCGTGGTATTTTCTAATACTGGTATTAACCTCTCAGTATGTAGAAATATGTTTGCTTTTGTTTTCTTGTTCTGTCTTGGCTTTTATTCACATGTTTCTAATAATAAAAAGGCTTTCATGTTGACCACCCAACATACATGCATTCAGAAACAGACATGTTATTTCATAATTCTGCACTGAACCAAAAATACATTAAGCATCAACTCAACGCTTATTTGCTTCCTAATGGAAATAAAATTTCATCGATTGTAGAAAATAGATAGATAATTGTTTCTTTTTCTACGAAATTTGTTCTCTTATCTTTTGTAGGTAAAAGCACACAAGGGGGAAGTAAATGCTGTCTTCAACAAAAAAATTTCCTCTTTTGCTTTATATAGAGGCAAAGATGGTGATGATTTAGACCCTTATCAAGTTTCTTCTAAATTTAACCCCAAAGATGAAGACAAGATGCTCGTAGATAGGCTGAGAAAATGGCTGGTCCATTTCCAGCTTCATGAAGGTCATAAATTATTTCAACATTGATGTTCCTGATTTCAGTTTATTTGTCTTTAATTTCTGTAGTCTAATTTAAACTTAATATGCAAATGCATTCATACACTCAATTACTGCTAACTTGTGGTTAAAATCTGGAAGAAATTAATTAGTGAAAGAACTGATATAGGGAAAAGTTGTTTGAAGCATGTTGCATTTCTTTTTGGCCAGTAGGATTAGTGTTATGGTATGATGCTTAATTACATGTCAGGCATTACCTCTTCTGTATGGGTGGCTTCTGGCAGGAGTATGTTACTGATTGTTATAAAGTAGCTAGTACTCAATTAATTAAACAATTTAGTACGTACTAATTATTTGTTTAGCATTTTAACTTGATCAAGGTCAAGAATTTTCCTTAACAAAATCAATTTATTGTTTAGGGGTTTCTGCTTATGTGGTTCAGTAGTTATTGGTTTATTATTAACTTCATCTAGTTTCCTACTTTGATGTGTGTAGATTCTAGTAATTTCCCCTTGTTCAGAGAAATCAAGGAAGAAACTCACATTAATTTGGCATGCAAGGTAATTAAGCTGTTTTTTAGCTCTTATATTTTGCATGATTGATCTTGAGAGATCCTTGTGTAAATACAATTTTAAAATGTATGAACTTTTTTCAAGATTGGGTGTTACTTTTAGTTGTTACCGCACTAAGTTGTTGACCTTTCTTCATACTTTTACTTTCTTGTTCTCATTAAGATCCTTCACTTCTGTGAGGCTGCGAAAGATGAATGGTTTATCTTTGCTTGGGATGGCACTGATACCCCACCAAATGCCATATGTTCAAAGTGAGTTGATACTATTTTACTTTTACGTTATCAGTTCAGCTCCTCTTCTGAAACGTACATCCTAGGTTTGGATAGAATTAATTTCTTATAACTATAGCACTGGTGTCTTCTAGTACTCTGTTTATTATGTCCTGTCAAAGGCAAGTTGCTAGAAATGGTCATAACTATGCCATGGTTGGTATTTTATTGCTTTCTATTCAGGAAAAGTAATGATGTTATTGTTTTGGTCTCTTATGTGCAATTTATCCTCTCCAACGCACCCCTCCCCCTTCTTTCTTTGTACTGACCTGTGGGAAATGAAGTTTTGACAGGTGATTTTTTTGTAACGATATGCCAAGAATTGAATGTCTTATTTTTTCATATTATGAAAAACATCACTTGGCAGGATGGAGCATAATATTCATAATGGAATAGGTTATAGGACTGAATATCAGGTTAAAAACTGACAATTTTTATTCCAGTTAAAGGTTTGAAACCAAGGGTAATAGGACAAAACTATTCTACTGTCTTGGTGTGCCAAATGCTTACCGTAGATTGAAGTAGTTTTTATTTCTCTTAACTAGGTTTCACAACATTTTTCCTATAAATTATAATATTTAAAATTTTGAGAGTAGCCTAATAGAATTTTTATTCGTTTTCTGAATTGCAGGCTAGAAGATGAACTTAATTCTCCACTTCCTTTACAATTGGAACCTTTGCCTTTGCCAAGAGAGATTTTATGTAGTTTGCCTGCTGTTGGATCCATCCTGAGAATAACTTTTGATGCAGTTGTTGAGAAGAGTGACCTCCACCTTGTAAGCATTGGTAAATGGGTCAAGTTTATCAATTTGCGTCTTGTGGTGCATGCTGGACTATGGCATGGTGTTTTCACCTCTTTTACAAAGCTTCGATATACACCTAACGAAGACCAGCTCATTGTAGAACGTCAAAGGTGGTTGCTAATTTAGTTGACTCAGAATATATGGTTTGTTGGTTAACTGAAACTTCTGCATGTCTCTCACGTATGTTGGACTAGGTTTTCTGGTGAGAGGAAAACTTCGAAATCAGGAAGAATGCCTTATTGCAGCTTCCCTAAGCCCTCGTGTATTACAGGTCTTTCATTTGTGACTCGCTAAATCTCTGATTCGTGAATGCTGATTTAGATTTATGATTTTCTTATGAGATAACACGCTTTATCATTACAGAAGTCATTCATCATGAGCATTTGAAACGTGTTACGTTAATGGGTGTCCTCACTCATTCAGAGGTATTATACATTATTTTCTTTACTTAAGTCCACACTCTTAACCTCAAACTCCCTATTGATTGATGCTATTTGCCTCTGAGCATTACTATTGCTATTCAAACTCCCTATTGAAGGTGACGGCTAAATTCAAGTGTGTTGTTCGGGTGGTAGCAGCAATGCCATGCCAAGCTGAAATTCTCTGCTCTCCTGCTGGGATATACAGAATGCGGCTAACTCTAGAGGATTCAACTGCAAGGATCCATGCTTATGTAGTTGCACAGGATGGGGTTAGAACAAATTTCAACCAGTCTGTTTTTAGGATCTTTTTGGCACCAATTACACCCCATGCACGTATATGTTCTACACAAATTGTTACACTTTACTGTTCAGTGGCCATTATTGATTTCAAGTTGTATTCTTGGCAATTATCTGCACTGGGCTTGCAAAAAAATGCTGTAATTTTGCTTATTTATATTTATTTATCTGTTTATTTGGTCGTAATCTGCTTAGCTGATTTTTTTTTCCGCACTTGTCATGATCATATATGACAGGAGACCCTTTTTGATGGTTATCCGGGCGTTGAAAAGTTGACAAGGAAGCTGAATAGATTACTGGGAGTAGCTGAATGTGATGCTAGCAATGATGGGGAAAAGGTTACTCCAAGAAATCCACCATGGATTTGTGTTTGTCTCATGTCATACTATGTCTGCAAAGCTGATGTCTGGGGCAGTAGAAACTTCAGAATATTTGACACCAAAATAGTGGGAGATACATGATAGATGGAGATAGTTATAAAAACCCTTTGGAATGTGTTGTCATGTGTGTTTTGACTGTAAATTTCAAGTATACGAAAGTACAAATTACGTATGTTAACAAGTAGTTGTCACTATTACTGCCAGGGGTATTATTGACCTGCGTGCCTCGCTGACTTTTCCTCGCCAGATTAAATGCATTTTTGAGAATGTGTAAGAATTATACTTTGGATTGTTCTAAACTGATTCCAAGTTAAATGTTTTTATGAACTATAGTTTTAAAATAATTATATGTGAATAATATATTTTTTAAGTAGACGATATTTTATACAATATGTTGTGTGTACGTTGATATTTACTCTAAAATATATAATTACAAAATTCTTGATCCATTAACCAGAATAGTAATTTTGAATGTGAAAAATTTGAAGTTATTTTGGTCGAGTGGTTTTAAGATATTCTAGGAATATAAATTTTCTTCAAATTTTCTTAATCTAGTCTCCTTTAATATATTTTATTTTATTTTGTTTTTAAAATTGAATTTCAACATGTAACATTAAATTATCATGTAGATTTAAAATATTTAGTTTTGACTTATTCATTATAAACTGTGCTAATATTATTTGTATGTCAAATTATTAATGGTTTATTATATAATTTTTTTCATGCATTGAGCATATTAAAATACTTGTACATCGTGTTTTTAATTATGATATATTTAAATTATACAATTTGAGCATATAAAATATTAATAAATTAGATTCACAAATCTGGTTAATCCACGTTTTTTCCTTTTCCGGATCTTGGTTTAAAATGACTGAACCTTACTTACCACTGACTTATCTAATAGATGAGTTGCGCAAATTACGTGTGAAATCGGGGACCTATTTATTTAACGCCGAAACCAGTGTCAACGGGGAAGTACTTTGGGACTAGAATAAAATCTGAAAAACTCCGAAAAGATGTTCTGTGCTGGTTAGTTAAGTTGCTCTGTAAAGTTGATAATAAAAGATACAAAATCTTACGAAGTGTGTGCATGGATGATGGATATTGCTTGGGCTCTCATATTTTGGGTTATGTGAAACCCGTTCTCCTACCTTACGAATGAATATCTACAAATGCACTTGTAAGTTTCCCTATTGTACAATTTGGCCTGTAGCTAAAAGACAGTTCATATATCTAAAAGGGAAGGACAACCGAAAACCTTTCGACTTGTGAAGGATAGAAGTGCGTGCCAGGAACTAGTGTGCAGGTACACCAAGCTCGTTGGGGTGATTTGGCTGAGCCACCTCTCCAACTGCAACACCGGCTTGCCTTCGTTGTCTCTCGCGAAGATACAGCACAGTTATGAGGCATGCAAAGAGGGTCAGAATTGTAGCATTTCCCTCCTCCATAAGCACATTCTCCACCCAAGCTTCTAATTTAGGATACACTTCTGGCAATGAATCAATCACGTGGACCTGATCAAAACAATAAGCACAATGCAATCCAGCAGTGAGAAATCAGAAATAGTGTTGGGAAAATGTAAAAGCAGAGTTACATATTCAGACTACCGAGCAGGTGAATGAGAGAGTAAGAGAAAAGCGGTGAAGTGGGTGATTCAGTAGTATCCCTACGCAATATTAAACAGATTATACCCCCTAATATACTGGTCGTTGTCCAATGTGAGTGTACAACTCCTTAGTATCAAATAAAACTAACAGTAACTATGGTAGGATGTTATCAGTTAGCTGTACTGACTTCGTTCTTAGCTGTTGTACTATTTAGTCTCTAATAAACTAATAGATTTTACAGTGACAGTAAAAGGCAAAAAATCTAAACTTTGTTAATGACATATAAACAGTTCGATAGGCCATTTACTAAGATTCTTCAGTAACTAGTGATAATATATATTATCCTAATGAACACAAACTAAACTGAGATGGCATGAAAAGAAAATTACCAATATATTAAAAATTTGTCAATTACCACTTATTGATTGTAACTACGCAGAGTATAGCAGTAGATATTTGGTAAACCAAAGAAACTCACCATGAAACTGTCAGCATAGTTTTTACGAATCCACAAGCTTGAAAGAGCTAGCGTGACTGGCAACTTTGCTGCACGATCATGATCTAGAGCTTCATCATAGTAACGCTTGGCTAGATGAAGGTCAAACGGAAGTCCTTGGCCATGCTCGTACATGTATCCAAGATTGAACATGGCTTGTGCATTAGATTGTGATTTGGCATGCATGTAAGCCTCAGCAGCCCGATCATAATCCCTGGCCGTACCCTAACATAAGAAAAAAGGAAAACAAAAGAAAGTGAAAAGATGCAGGGAGAGAGCACAATGGCTGAAATTGAATTCAGAGCATTGCAGATGCCCAATTCATCCCAAAACCACATACCCGACCATAGTAATACGCATCTCCAATGAGTAAAGCAGCATGTTCATTACCCTGCTCAGAAGCTTGCCACCATAGAGAATGTGCCCTCTGATGCCTTTCTGCATCAGTGCATAATCCAGATTCACCCATGCACATGCTACGTTCCCCATATTTGTCAAGAATCCAAGCAGCATTACTTTGTGCCACCTCATAGCCCATCTCAGCCATTCTTGAATACAACATAAATGCCTTGCCAAGATCACCTTTTAAGTATGATTCTAGAGCCCATCTAGACAAAGAACTCCATGGACCCCGCTCTGCAACTAGTTTGTACAGTGCAGTAGCCTAAAACCACATGAAGGAAGAATGTTAGTACATAAATTTGTTGGCAAAGACTTTTGATGATAGAGTAGTCATTAAGAAATGAAAAATATAGCATTACATAAACTTAATTTTAGGCCAGTACTCAGATTATGATTCTCTAATAATCTCTATAGCTGTATTCTAATGTCTTATACATATAATTTCAAGTGTGTATATATATATATATAAGCCATCGCTGTACAAAGGCTACATGCAGGGGATGTATTAGAGAACACAAACAAAATGAAAACTAGCTGTACGTTATCAGTTATGTCATCAATATGCACCAGTCAACACAGAACTTACAAGAATTAAGTAGAACAAAATTTAAAGTATTCAAATGTCAGTACCATCAAATAATATGAAGAGTGAGCATGATAAACAAGAAAAATTTAATTAGAAAAAATAAAAAATCCTCAACCATCACTAGTTGATGTTCCCTTTGGATAAGTAGATGCTCATTATCTCTTTTTCAGGACAATTGAGTTCTTAGTTTATAGCTGTCATACTACACTTTGCAAAATGTTCAGTTTAGCCAACATATCATAATTCTCATCTAATTAATTAACAAAAACAGACACAGCAAGGAGCCCGTGTTTTAGAAAGTGATAGAAGTCCTTACAGTCGTAAGCAGATAAAGGCTTGTACCTTTAACAAAAATCAGTATAATATAACTGAATCATGTTTATAATCATCAATCCCAAATTTTAATCTAGCTTTTTTTATCAATTTCATTCTTCTATAGCAAGTATCAAAACACATTAAAGCAATATTCAGTAACATTTAAAAATAATTATGTCAGTCCAACTTTTTAGACTGTCAGACTGATGGACCACACAGATTCCAATCCCAGAATAGATGAACAAATAATTGGGTCATCAGCACAAAAATTGCAGTCATCATAAACAATATATGATATGATTACACTCTCATCAGGCAAAAGGTTAAATATATCTCTGATATATCCTGAAATATATTACATTGTATTATAATTACAAGAGAATCATATTGACATCAGACTGTCAAATACATTAATCCAACGGTATTTGCAACAATTGCATAAAAGAAAGAATCAATCAACTTACCAAGGGAATATTCTTCTTGAACCCAACACCATTGTGGAAAATCTTAGCTAACTGGTAGAACGCCTTTGGTTGACCATGGTTAGCAGCCACCACGAAGAACTTACAAGCCAGCTTAACATCCCTCTTAACTCCAATCCCCTTGAGATACATGACACCTAGGTTATAGTGCCCCCCAACCTCCTCATTCTCTGCAGCCTTCTCAAAATACTCCTTTGCCTGTGATTCACAAATGATATCATAAGTCAAGGATAACTGAATAAACACACACACATCCAAATAATGACAAGGTGGATATATAACCACAACACAGTCCTACTTTAGTGTAATTCTTCTTGTCAACGCCATAGCCTTTGACATACAAATATCCCATCCCATTATAAGCAGAATACAGCTGGTGCCTGGAAGCAAGCGTGAGCCACTCAAACGCTTTGGTGTAGTTTCTCTCAACACCTGCTCCCCTAGCATAGATCTCTCCAAGAAGCTCCATAGATCGTGGCTCTCCCTTCTCCACTGCCTTCAAAAACCATGACAGCGCTTTGGAATGATCACGCCTCAATCCCCTGAGGCCAAAGTAGTAAAAGAGACCAACTTTGTACATGGCAGCAGCATTTCCCTTCTGGGCTTGATACTCGAGTATCTGAAAGTCCTCGTCTTCTTCTCCCTTCGATTTTCTAAGAGCCTCCTTGTTCTCCTCAGCCCCATTGTGAAGCCTGACCGGTTCAATCACAGGGGAATCTTTCGAAATCAGAAAATTATTCACAGCCACTTCAGCTAATTCAGCATACAGATTAACAGCTTTATCAAACATCTGTACCAATAGCGACACAATTTATCACATTATTTACAGAATCGTAAAGAGAAATCAATTACTAATCAGAAAGGGGGAAAGAAAGAAAAAAGAGGGGGTGAAGGCACACTCACGTCTTGGCGCGTATATTTATAAGCCAAAGCCATTTTGGACTGCATGTTGCCACCCTCGGCGGCGAAGTGGTGGTATAAGAACGTCTTCCCCTTGCTTCGTTCTCTCAAAAGACCCATCTCCCACAAAAACCCTAGAACCGATTGGGCAGCGGGGTGGCCGGTATCGGCCGCTGCGGCGATCTCGGCGGCGCCGTTCTCGATGAGGGCAGGGTGTCCGGACATGAGCTTATCGACGGCGGAGTAGTAGGCAGCGTCGGATTCCGGGATCGGTTGGGGGTCTCCAGCGGGGGGCTCAAAGATGGGGCGCCATGAGCCAGGGTCGAGGTCCTCCTCGGATTTGTGGGCGTCTCCATCGCCGAGTTCATCCCACTCGGCGGAGGAGTCGAGTTCAGCGGGAGGGTCGTCCTTGAAGTCTTCCTGAGAGAGCACGAGCACGAATTGCCGTGCGGCGACGGAGAGAGAGAGATTGAGGAGAGAGAAAGAGAGGGCGAGAGAGATAAACAACGACTTGGGGCGAGACATGGTTCTTGCCGCTGTGCTATACGGACAACGATTCCTATCGCGAAAAGTTTGTGTGCGAATGGGAAATGCGGTTGCAATGCAGGGGTATTATTGCAATTACAACTTCTACTTCTCCTGCCACGTTTCTTTATGCATCTCTCTCCACTAGGAAATTGCCATGTCAGCTTCCAAAACTCATCCTTGTCAAAGTATGACTTTCTTTCTTGGGCTTAGCCGGCCCAATTTATTTTGATTTCAGATGAGGATCACTTTAAGCCACTCGAATCTTGAATCAAAAAGGGAAATAAAAAAAAACGCACTTAAATGAAATCGATTCATTTAATGGAAGTATTTGTTCATTAATTTTAATTAAACATATAATTATCAAATCAAATCTAAAATTGATTGAGACAGCCATCATCAACTTTTTGGAAGCAATGGTCCTAAATAAAAAAAGGATTTTTATGAGGGAGGACTCATCTAGTGGCAGAATCTGAGAGGACTGGGGCAGGTTCTTTCTTCCCCTGCCAATTCTTTCATTCACTCATTCATATATCACATTCATCTTCATTTTCATTCTCATTCTCATCTTCACAGTTAGTTAGCTACCAATGTCTTCTCTATTAGGTAAGCCTCCAATCATTCAATCTTGTAATCTTGTTGATGTTATTTTAATACTATTTCGCCCTCTTAAAACTCATAACTCTTACAGATGAGTGCAGGGAACATTTATTGGAAGTCGACGCAGATGGCAAACCCAAATTCCAGATAAGAAATCTCACCAGAGTTTCCGACGATGGGGTTTCAATCCTCAAAGGCATCAACCTTCACATTCCAAAGGGTGTCATCGTTGGGGTCATAGGCCCCAGCGGCAGCGGCAAGTCAACGCTCTTGAGAGCCTTAAACCGCCTCTGGGAACCATCCTCCGCCTCCGTCTTCCTCGACGGCCAAGACATCATCGATCTCGACGTTCTCTCTCTTCGCCGGAAAGTTGGCATGCTCTTTCAGCTCCCTGCCCTCTTTCTAGGTCACAATCTCTCTTCCTTCCAACATGTCATCTAATCAATCACACCAATTTGCAAGGAAAATTAAGATTAGAGACATAATAATCTACATATAGTTTTTAAGTAGTTAGTCAATAAAATTGTTGTTACTCTTCACTAAATTCAAATACTGTTTTTTGTTGGATTAAAGTTCATTTTTTTCCTGACTTTCAATTTTAAATTGAAGCTTCTATTAATGTTGGAGGGTATCTATTCTATAGGCACAGTTGCTGACAATGTGAGGTATGGACCACAGCTTAGAGGAAAAAAGCTAACCGATGATGAGGTGCTCAAGTTGCTGACAATGGCAGACTTAGATGCTTCTTTCATGGATAAGTCCGGGGCTGAACTATCTGTGGGTCAAGCTCAAAGGGTTGCACTTGCTAGGACTTTGGCTAATTCACCAGAGGTAACGTAAAATTCTTTTTGTCTTTTAACATTTTTTTTTTGTTTTCATTTGTGTCTGTAATGTTTAGTTTTGCTTGGTCTTTTTTTGAATTAAAGGTTTTGTTGTTGGATGAGCCTACTAGTGCTTTAGATCCTATATCGACAGAAAACATAGAGGATGCCCTGGTGAAGCTGAACAAGAATCGGGGCATGACAGTGGTCATGGTCTCTCATAGCATCAAACAAATCCAAAGAATCGCTGACATAGTGTGCCTGCTTGTTGATGGTGAAATTGTTGAAGTTCTGAAGCCTGATAAACTCGCTGAGGCCAAGCATCCCACAGCGCGAAGGTTTCTTGAACTCAGTTCTTAAGGATCCTATAAATTCTGTCTCGACTTGTTTGGTTTAGAACTTTTTAGTCTGTTCTTGAAGCCAAGATGAATGTACGTGCTGATTTATCACCCATGTGCACCTGACCTCGATTACTATCATTGAACCAATCATCTAAGATTATTTATTTCTATATGTTGCTTTCAAGACAGGTTGGTGACATTCTGGGGTGACATAGGATTGTGGTAGTGGAGGTTTAGTTACAATATGACGTTGCAAAATGCTACAGCATTCGAATTTTGTTCTGAATAAAACTATTGCACCGTTCTGTTTTTCCTAGTATTGCAATGTGCTATTCAATAAACATGCTCATTGGTGCAAATTTTATGCAGAAAGTTTTCAACAAAGCATGCTCAATGATATATTATTATTAATCATAATGTAATTATTAAAATATAATTTTAATAGTAAGTCTTTTTTTATCTTGTAATGAAATATAAAAAATAAAAATATTACATTTACTAGAATCTTGACCATTATGGTAAAATATGATGGCATTGACTTAATTGACTGAAACAATCAAATGAAAGAGACGACTACCTCCATGTAAAACTGTTCAAATAAAATGACTCGTATCTTGTTAATCATCTCCAATCAATTTTAATAAACAATACCTTTCTATTGAACTGTGAAAAATAGTGAGCATTTTGTTGTTTAACCTGAATGAAGGCTCCACAAAATGCAAAGCAAAATGAAAGATGACCGACACAACCCACGAGTATAGTCGGAATTACTACAAATGGAGGTGGAAAGGATGATCCAGGACCACGTGCTACATCTTCCCAATTTATTCAATTTTCTTTTTCTTGTAATCTACAGGGCATGTGGTTATGGGTGTTTCGTTTCCACACGATTTCCATGATATTGAAACTTTAATTTTCACCAGCTATTGTAGTTTAATAAGTACCAAAAGGATATATGTCTTGTCGTTTTGGGATGGTGGTGAGAGAGAGAGAGTTAAGATCCCACTCATTTTCAGTTCATAGATGAAAATTGAAAGTGATTCCTTTGCCCTCAATTAGGCAATAATCAATAAAAACCATTAGCATTTTTAGCCTTTTCCCCAATATTTGCCCTCTATTTCTTTTTTTTGTGGCTCTCTCATTTTTATACTCAAACCATGAAAGTGTTGAGTCTTCGTGGATCCAATTTGAGGCTTCTCTCGTTAGAAACCAGTGTTTAAGATTTAAGATTGTCGTGTCCTTATTTCTTTCTTAAACTATGTTACCCATAAGATAATTTTCTTCTTCTTTGTTGTAAGTTGTATGCTAATTGAGAATTAGAAATAAACTTGGTAAAAATGAAAATAATAATAACAATATATTTTTGAAAATAATAATAACAAATTGGAATTGAATAAATGGTATTATACTCTCCATCCATTCTGTTTAATTTTAAAAAATATAAGTAACAGTTACTGTTATACTTTACTTTCTCTTTGATTTGGGTGAATCAGAAATTACACAGCATAGCATTTGAAGTGCATGAACAGCTGGGTAGCAAGTAGGAACAATCATTTCAAAGACAATAAATCCTCTCAGAACCCACTTATCTCCCTTTCTGTCGTTTTTCTCATCATTTGTAGTAGTCACAAACAGTAATCACTTCATAAGCCACAAACTCAACTCAATCTTAAGTTGTATCCTAGTAACTATTTTTCTCATCCAAAGAGAGTTTTTTTTGTTCCATCCATCCACCCAGGAACACACAACAATGCTAGATCCAGCTACTGAATTGGTGCCACCACCATCTTCACCCACCAATTCTTCCATTTCCTCCTCTGATCTTGACACCGAGGTATCACCTTCACCCTCAACAAAATCAAATCCAATTCTCAAAATTTCCTAAAATTTTATTTTTTAACACCAATTAATTTCATCTTTTTTTCTGGGTTTTGGATTTTCATAGTCTACCGGATCGTTCTTCCATGACAGAAGCACCACACTCGGCACTCTTATGGGTGTCAGCTTCCCGGCGATTACCTTCAGAGCCTCTGACAGCCACCCACATTCCGCCATCGTCACCGCCGTGGGTGCTCCCCGTAGGGCCGCCGAGGCCAAGAAGAAGAAGGCCATCGTGGCAGCGGAACGGCGGCGGAAGTGGTGGTGGCTATGCAGGGACGGCGACTCGAGGCCGGCTTCGCTCGGAGAGTTTCTCGAGGTGGAACGGCGGTGCGGCGACGGTGCGTTTTATGGTACCGCGGCGGAACTCGAAGGAATGGTGATGGAATCGCCAAGGAACCACGGCCGGGCTTTATTTTCCGATGGGAGGGTCCTTCCGCCGTCCGCCGTTGACGATGGAACATCCACGGCGGGGAGTCTTTGCAGTAGATTCCCGATTTTGCTCACCGGGATCTGTAGCGGCGGCGCTGGATAAGATTGAGTTTGAATTTTGATTTTTTCTTTTTCTAATAAACAAAAGAAAAAAAAAGGAAAAAAATGGTTAATGATTTTCTTAGGATTGTTTGATTGATTGTTTGTTTGATTGGTATATTATTACAATTCTTAGATGAATATGACGTATATGCCAATGAAGAGCTTTTACTTTTCACTTTTATTTGGATAATATTATTTTTAAGAGTTCCTTACAAAAATAAAATAAATTGGATTCACGTAAAAAAGAATGACGATAATAAGCAAAACTTGTAGTCCATTGGAGGCCATCGTAGGAATTTTCTTTTTTAGGTCAAGGATTGTAGACAATTGTGTGATATGATATGGTAATCATAAATAGGCCAAATGAATTTAAATTATTATTTATTTTATTATTATTATATAGAAAACATTAGGGGATCCATGTTATATATTATTCGAATGCTTCATTTATGAAAAAAAAATAAATAGTATGGATTTAGTTATGGTTGATAAATGTCCCAAAATACAGGTGATTCTGCACTCATTATTCAAAAGGGACCACGTCGTTTTCGAATTGGAAGTTCGAAAGGGATAATTACTATATATATAAATTAAGGTTATTGTAAAACTCTACAGGTTTGTATTTGTTTTTTTTTTTACGATTTTTGCCTCTGTCTAATAAATAATGGACATGACAACCTTAATTATCTAAACAAAAGTAAGAGGTTAGTAAGAAAAAATTATGCTTTTTATTCTTTTATTTTTTTTCAAAGTTGATTTTGTCTTTTAACTTTAGTCTTATATGCTAAAATTTTAATGGCAATTTTAAGCTTCAAAAAGTAAAAAAGAAAAACAAACCTAAATTTACAGATCCTTTTTAAAATTAGAGACTAGTTCATTAATTGGAAAAAGTGCAAAAGCAATTTTTTTTTTAATATTGACCAAAAATAGTTTATTATTATTATTATTATTATCATCAAATCTTAGTAAAGAAACTCCATAAAAAGGAGATGGGGGAATAATGATAATTTTCGTCAAAATCTTTTGATAAATTTAATTTAAAATAAAGGATCAGTAATAGTTTTTTATACTTTCTATTTTATTACTAAAATAACTTAAAAGACAATGATGATAATTTTTTACACACTTTCGGTTTGATTACCAAAGGATTAATATATATTAAAGTTAATTTATTTCCCCTGAAACACTATTAATGTTTATTAGCAAGTTTACTTATTTTAAAGAGGATTTAGTTTTTTTTAAACAAAATTCACAATATCAATCATAATATTTTATAAATTATTATCATGTATTAATTTTAATTTAAATTTTGAATTCATTAAAAATAAATTTGAATTTTGTTTACAATTACTTTAAAGCGTAGATGGTTAGTTAAAAAAAAAAAAATCTACCTCATTGTCGCCGCCAGTCAAAACGAGGCGGTCGGAGCGATGCGATGGTTTCGACTTCTTTTGATTTTCATGTTTTGGTGTGGTTACAACGCCTTTAGGTTGTCCGATAACTGGGCTGAACCTAGAGGCGAGGTTTTCGAAAAGGCGTTCTTGGGTTGTCCGATAATCAGGCTAACCCAAGAACTGTTTTTCAAGGGTTCTGTGGAGTCACAACCGATGTTTTTATCGAAAACATCGGAAAAGGGTTTTTAAAGGCGTTGGTTTTCGAAAAACCAACTTTGGTTGATAGAACCAGAGTTGGGTAAAGGAGTTAGTTACGTGTAAGGGAAGTGTTAGTTCCCTTACGACGCCCCTTTCGGGTTCCCTATGATAGACTAGCTATTTTAAAATAATTAAACCTGATGAAAATACGTTTTTACCCTTTTTATTTTGCAGAATTTAAATTTATGACTACATGACCCTAATGTCTATTGCGTAATTTAAAACAAGGCAATAAAAGATAGAGAGAGAGTAGAAACCTCCGAAGCAAGCTTTTCTATTAATTTCTTTGAAAATAGGGTGCTTTGTGGCAGCCCTTCACTCTACACAGCGTCGGAACCTCAAAAAACGCTATAAAAACCTCTAAAGACACTAAGAAGCTCCAGAAATGCTTCGGAGGGATTCTAGAGAGAGAATCTAGTTATATGACTAGAGAGAGAATGAGAGACGGCGGTCTCGACAATCGAGACGACGGTCTCGCCACTTGCGCAAGGCGAGACGACGGTCTCGAATCCGAGAAGGCGGTCTCGACCCCAAAAGGCGAAAATTCTTATTTTTGTGCCAAAAATTCCTCCTATCCTAGTATGGGGCCTAATAGTTTCTCCTAGTGGCTTCTTAGGCTTCATCCATCTTCGAAAAGGAGGTATTCTGATCTTTATTATGAGGCCGGGCAAGATTTGGGGTCTACAACTGCCCCCCCTTTACCTGACTAGTCGGCTGTTGGTCTGCTGTGCCAGACAGATCGACAGGAAGGTAAAGGAGTTGACCCTCTTGCCCGGTTACCCTTCGGATGTTCCGTCTTGCAACGATTGATCTTCTGGGGAAAACTTGTGTTTGTGCACTTCCGGGATACTCCTTCTGACGGTAGCCGATCCCTTCAGCTAATGAGTACAAACCCTCATCTGGTTTGACGAGTATGAACCCTCGCCCGGTAAGCCTCCTTTTGTAAGGCCTGATGAGTATGCACCCCCATCTGGTGTTTGACGAGTATGAACCCCCGTCCGGTAAGCCCCCTTTTGTAAGGCCTGATGAGTATACACCCCCATCTGGTGTTTGTGCCTTTGGATGCTCCTTCTTGTGGTAGCCGATCCTTTGGCTGTGGTGGCGACTTACTTCTCTAGCTCATGCGTCGTTGCGTTGAGATGTGCTTTCTTTGTTTTTGTTGGTATTTGATCGTCCGGTATGTGCCGGGGATTTTGTTGGTGTTCATCCAACTTGTTGGTTGCTGGGGATTCTTTATTGTTTTTTTTTTTTAATCTTTTGATAGTGGTCATCCGACTTTGCTGGTTGTCGGGAATTTTTGATGAGTGCCTCTGGGGATTTGTTGATCTTGGTGAGGCCTCTTAAGTAGGCAGATATCCATTGAAAAATTTGTTGATTTTGATGGTGCCTCTGAGTAGGCAGATACTCCATTGAGTTTCTGGTAATGCCTCTGAGTAGGCAGATGCTTCATCGGAAGTGAAGACTTTTGATTTATTTGTTTTGCCTCTGACTAGGCTGATATGAGGATGCTGGCTCTTGCTCGCCAGGTCTTGCCTATGCGTAGGCAAATGACATTCTGAGGATGAATATGAAGTTTTTCCTTTGTAGTAGGCTTACTGGGGATGATCTTTCTTTTTATTTGATTCACCGGGGAATTGGTTGACTTCCCGGGGGTTAGATTTTGGTTTGCCCCCTGGAGTTTTGACTCCTTGTTAGGTACTGGTGTGAGCTGGTTCTGGGTATTTTACCTAAAAGTTAGGATTTTAATTTCGCCTTTTTTCGCGATTTATCTCTTTTTTATCACGATTTTGAAATCTGGCTTTTTTTATGGGGATAATGCGTAAGCCTTTTTACTTTTTAGTCTCTTTTTATTACGCTGGCTTTTTCCCTTCTTTTTTTTGGTGGGTCCACTAGGGATGACGTTTTCTTTCTTTGGTGATCCACCAAGGAATTAGTTGACTTCCTGTCGATCTGATTTTCCTTTTCTAGGGATGAAATCTTGACTCCTTGATTGATGTTGATGCGAGCTATACTTCCGAAGCTCTTATTCCACCGGGGATGAGAATTTCTTATTCCTTTTTGTAGATTTTTTTTTTTTGAGATCCACTTGAGGATTTTTATTCGGCCCTCTCTGTCATGGCCTTTTTGGACATCCGCTCGGGATGCAAGGGTTTTCTTTTCTCTTCTTTCTTTTTGTTGAGCCCTTGATGGTTTGGACTCTTTTGACTGTTGATGATGATGGGCTCTTAAAGCCTTTATTCTCCATTGGGGAGTGTGGAGGAGACTTTGGGTGAGTGTGCTCGATGACTCATGTAGTGGTAATGCTGAGCCGTGAGGAGTGTTTTTGTTTTGCCTTCAGAGTAGGCATGGATCCTCTTGGGGATGACTAAGTCTTTCCGTCGGCTTTTCTTTTATGATGTCTGATGATTGTGCCCTCTTTTATTGGGTGATGATTGGAGCTTTGACTTCTGGAATCTTCTTATGACAACTCGCTATTCTTTCTTGAGGGAGAGCAATGTTTGAAGACTTTTTATATGTGCCTTTTTTTCCTGGGTAGAAGGATGGTAGCTGGAGCTCTTGATTTTCAGAAGCTCTTATTCTGCTGAGTCGCTTGATTGACGACTTGCTCCATTTTCTTGAGGGCATTATTTGGAGACTCAGTCTCAGTGATCCTGTTTTTAATCACAAACATGAAGCTAGTCTCCTTATATGCATGAATGATTTTCGTTTTTTGTTATTTGTCTGAAGTAATTTTTATTTCTTTCATTTTTTATCTTGACAAAGTCGTTTTGTGCGACTACTTATGTGTGGATGCCCTAAATGCAATCTATTCTTTTTGATTGATGCATTTGGAAAAGTGACTGACATTCTCCTATTGCACTTTTATGATTATGATGAAGAGCCCCTCTCTTTTATTCATTTTTTTTTGTTTAACCCTATCTTTTGCCTAGACCGCCCTTTTTAGGGTTTTCGATCTAGCGGACTGCCCTAACTTTTGCCTAAGAATCTCCTAGCAGACATTATTTTTTATTTTTATTTTCTTTCTCTTTTTTTTTTTGAGAGATAGGACCCTATCCTATGCATGCAATGTTCGCGATATGCATCCTATAATGCTATTTCAATTAATATTTCAAAAGGATTAATCAAATGTGCTTTTACTTTTGATGAGCTTCTGACGTTATGTGCTTTCGTTGACAGAATAGATTGTACCGATTTTGCCGTCTTGACTTTGCCGTGATCGAAGAATGATTGTGTTGATTGTAGAGCGACTTTTCATTTCAGTATGCCCCTACCTTTTCCTTAGGGATGTCAATCCTCCTATTGATTATTATCTCCACATTTCCCTACTAATTACTAGAATGTTGTAGTG